CTACAGGCATACTACGACACGCTCTTAGAACCAAGAAGAGTTCTAAGAACTAAGACAAGGCTCTTAGAACCTAGGCCCGATGTGTTCAGACAAGACAGCCTCACCCATAAATGTTATAAGAGCACGTCGCGCAGACCACAAGAAGTTGCTAGAACTCTCTTTATTATAGCTATACACAAGCGGGGACGCTTCGCCACTGCTCGGGGGTAGCCAAAAGGCCACATGGCGTTCACGAGCGCGCGCGCGCGCGCGTACCAAACAGTGCGGCCCGCTTGCGCTCTGCCCCCACGCCTGCAGCGAGTGCACGGGAGGTCCCAAGAGCGAGCGGGTCCTGATTGGAAGTTGGAGCGACTGGGTTCAGTGGGACCTGGCAGAATGATGCGTACAAGGGGACTCCCCCCACCCCCGCCACATTCCACTAACCAGAACTATCGTCGCGCGAAGAACACCAGCCACGGCAGACCTGGCCCGGCCAGCATTGAAGGCCTCGGGGCCCAATCACCAACCAGCTCCCCTCAACCGGGGCCCTGACTACACCGACCTGGGCCCCAGGGGTTGCTTCCCCAGGGCCGGCCAGCACAGCCCGAGTCGGTCCGTCCAAAGCCCCGGGGCCCGAGGACAAGGCCCCGAGAGGCCGAGGACGTCCAAAGGGCTCAGAGCCCCCCGTCCGGCTGCCTGCCAGCCCGCCTCAACCCAAGCCGAAGATTCGATTTTCGGGTTGGGGGGGGGCGGATCCCACGCGTTTCTCCATGTTCCCCACCGCCCCCGCCACTGGGCAATGAGGGCGCATTGGGGCCTTCGGGTCGGGTCGAGGTGGCTTGGCGGATGGTGACCCATTGGGCTGGAAGCGAGCCGCGGCCCACAGCGGGCCGCCGAGCTCTGGGGGGGAGGCCTGGGCCCCCCGCGGCAGAGGGCGCGCCGAGGCGAGCCGAGGCGATCTCCGCCCCCTTCCGAAGGGGGGACGTCACGCGGGGGCTGAGGGGGCGTCGGGCGTTGCCGGAAGCACCCTGGCCGACGGTGCCCCCAGGGTTCTCGGGGTGGCCCAGGCGGCCCCCGGAGCACCCCCCACGAGGCACAGAAGGCCCCGGGGGCTCCAAAGTGGAGCGAAAAGCAGGGCAGGGAGCACCTCGGTCCAGGGGGAGTTGAAAAACGCCAGCAGATTATTTGATCGACTCGGTCCGACTTCCACACAACCCGATATCACCAGACACAACGCTAAACTCCAACGCTGAATTGAGCGCGTCACTCCCCAATCTTCACCCGACCACACCTCGCAATGGCGCGCCGCGATGCGCTGCCTCATCCGCGCAAAAAACTTCGACGCCACTTGCGCCCGCTTGCGCGCCAGATGTTGCGCCCGATGTCGCGTCTGACTTCGGTCTGATGTTACGCCCGATTGTTTGTCATATCATAAACCCGATGGCGCCTGGCTCATTCTGATACTGAATCGAGACGACAGAAACCAGACACGAAATCGGTCGCGAAATCGGATGCGAAATAAATCGCTTTTGGGCGCGTTTCCAGGCGTTCTTTCGGGCGCCCTTCTGAGCTCGCGTCTGATCGATATTCTGGGCAGTCTTGATGGCGCCCCCATGGGCGCCGTTCTCGGCGCCCTTCTGGGCTCGTTTGGGCGCTCGTCCCAGCGCGCCCCCGGGCGCTCCTGCGGGCGCTGTTCTGGTCGCCCCCGGTGCACCCTCTGGACACCAGGCGCGCGCCAGTTTGTTTTGCTCGTTTGGTTCCCCCTCCTCGCTCGGCGGTCCAACGACGGGACAGAGAGGTCAACGCAATGCCCCCCCGCCCCCCCTCGGGGCCGGTGGCGTCGGCTTCGCGGCCGGGACAAAACTGACCGACCCACCTCGACGCTCGCTTCTTCCAGCGTTCGCCCGCGGGCACAGGGCGCGCGACAGCCGGGCCGCCCGTGGCAAAGGCTTACCGGATAAAGCCTGCAGGCGGGAGGTCTGGACCAAAGGGTTACCAGCTAGACCTCCGAAGTGGGAGGCCTGGACCAAAACGTCATTGGTCAGAGCCTCGGGACGGGAGGTCTCGCCCGAAGCCAAGTCTGGACGAAAGGATCACCAGCTAGACCTCTGAAGTGGGAGGCCCGGACCAAAACGCGTCTGGTCAGAGCCTCGAGGTGGGAGGTCTTGCCCGAAGCCAAACCCAGCCCCCCCCCCCCCCTGGACTCCAGAGGCGCAGACAAATGTCGCGAACTCGGCGCGCGGGCGAGGCGCCACTGCTGAGGAGAGAACTCCCCCAACAAAACGTGGCTCTGTTCCCTCCCAAGCCGACGCCTGCGAATCCGTCTCCGAGAGGCTCGCCAAAAAACTGGCGACCGTGACCCGCGGACCTCCCCGCGCGACGGGATCGCCTGCCCTGGCCGGAGACAATCACGGCCAACTCGCGGTCTGCACCTGGCGGAGGGCAAAAGCGGGAGGAGCCAAAAGCGAGACGGGCCAATAGCGAGACAGGGCGAGACAGGGCGAAGAAGCAGGGAGAAGCCCACTGGGATCACGGCTCGAGATCAACAATGAACGACTGAATGACAGAGATGAGCACGACGACGGCGGCCCAGCAAGCCGAGCGCGGAGGCCTCCCAGGGGAGGCGCCGGGCGATCCGCGGCGGCGCCCGAGCCATGCCATCGCCGCCAGGCTCGGGCGAGGGGGAGGACAGGCAGGAGACGTGAGTGAGAGCGCGCGCCCCCCCTACGCCGAGGGAACGCCCGCCGCCACATGGCTCTGGACGGTCTGGGCGGCCTGCCGGCAGGCGAGCGCCCTCGCCACTAGAGGTCGGCCCCCCGCGCGAGCTCCGACGCGACGCAGCCCCGCCGCACTGCCCAGCACGTAGATGTAGACCATCTGCACATCCAGGCCGCGCGCGGAGAGCACGTTGATGCACGCGGCGCTCCTGGCCACCGTGGCCTCCGAGGGGGCGGTCGGGGGTCGGGCGTCACGCAGGCCGGGCAAGGGGCTGGGCGCCAAGCCGGGCGCGCGGGGGGCGCCGGGCTGGAGGTCGGGGAGGTTGTCGGGGAAGGCGTCGGGCAGGGCGTCGGGCAGGGCGCCGGGCAGGGCGTCGGTCTGGGCGTCGGGTTGGGAACCGGGATGGGCATCAGCTCGGGCGTCGGGTTGAGCGTCGGGCTGGGCGTCGAGGGGGTTGTCGGGGGCGTCGTCGGGGAGGACGTCGGGCTGTGAGTCAGTCTGGGAATCGGGCTGGGCGCCGGGGAAGACGTCGGGCAGGGCGTCGGGCAGGGCATCGGGCAGGGCGTCGGGCTGGGCGCCAGGTTGAGAGCGGGTCTGGGCGCGCGGTTCGGCGCGGGGCAGGGCGTCGGAATGGGCGTCGGGAGGGGCGTCGGGGAGGGCGTCGGGGAGGGTGTCGGACTAGGCGTCGGATGGAGCGTCGGACTGGACGGGTAAAAACATGGCGCCGACGGGCAGGATGGCGTCGTTCAACCACGCCTCCAGCAAGTCTGCGGCGCTCGGGTCCGGCGAGCTGAAGTCCGACTCCAGCGTGAACGAGACCTCTGGGCTGTGGAGGCCCACCTCCTCCATATCTGAGAACTGCGCGCCCTTAAAGGCCGCGCCCGCCATGTCAAGATGCTGCCCATCGGCTAGAGGAGAGGAGATACTTGCACAGGCACTCGCGGGGGCAGCGGGCGCCCCCGGGAGCGCTGCCCAACGCTCGTGCAGGAGCGCCTTTATGCGCTCCAGTCCAGCTCCGAAGTCAGATCCATCGACGGCGAGCGCGGCGCCATCTCCTCGGGGATG